GGGTCCAAGCCTGCGCGAGGTCATTGTATCAATAACAGGTGTGATGCTGGTTTGGAGGGAAGTTCTAAAGGCTTGTTTAATCTTATTCAGACTTTTGTGGCTGAGGATGAGTCAACATTAGCTTAATTAAAACTCCAGGAGAATAGCGTGAATGAGACCGGCGCCTGGGCTGCAGCCAGAGACGAGAGGTCAGAGCTAGCGGCTCCCTCCCACACCAGCTCTGCTCCCGCCCACATCCTCACTGCTCCATCCTCATTAGTCGCTGCCCCGTGCGCCCGGCGCCCATTGGCTGCTCAGAAGATGCTTTTCTCCCATAAGAGGTAGCCCCTCTGGTCCGCAGGTGACCCTCTGAACTCCGGTGCCCCTGAGGTAAGTGGGTGAATCGGGTGGCCCCTTCCCGGACCCCCGGCAGGGACAGGACCAACCTCCAGTAGGAGCCAGGTGGGAGTCCTACCCCTGTGGGCTCCATTCTTCTTTCCTTATAGCATCTTTGGGGACAGCAGACTCTATTCTTGAGGACCTCCTATGTGTCAGTAGAGACACTTTGCCACGTCGGATTTTGGCTTTGGAGGGAACCCTGTGAGGTGGATGCATCTTGTACTTTATAGATAAGGATGAATCTTGGAGTTCCAAGTGGGAACCCATGTCTGTGTGACTCCTTGCCAGTGGGAACACACACATTAATCTTTCTTTTCCATTTAAGGGGGACATCTCTTTCCCTTCTCTCTCTATGAAGGAAGCCCTCTCTTAAGCTCCACCAAAGGAAGGGGAGTCTCAGATGCTAGGTCTCTCAGCACCTCACCTGCACTCTGTACACCATCCCATCACAGTTGACAGAGGCATAGGTCCTTGAGATTCAGAGCTAGTTTATAGTCCAGGTGCATGTAGCCATGACTGAATGTGACTTTCTGATTTGCGCCCTAGCCATCTTGGAGTGGAGGTGGATGAGATAAGCCCCAGATGTTGCCAGGGTCACATACTCAGTCACTGGAGTTTGCCTGTCCATGCATTGTAGCTACTGCCCTAGATCATTCTGCTCATCCTGGAGGGAGGCAGCGTCTGCCTGGCCTTTCTGGAGAGTTCCTTTATCTCCTGCATGCTTGCCTGAGCCTTTTGTTTGTATTTCATCTCCACTTCTTTACCACTTCCCATCTGGAAAAGAGAATGGAGATCCCTTGGGATTCTTTCCGAACCATTCCTCCTTGTAGCTTCCAACCCTGCCTTCTTCAAACTGCTCACACCTTCAGAAGCCTCGGCTATGCTTCCTAGGTGAGAGAATTCCAAGTTTCACTCAGTGATGATGAAGCCGAGGAAGCAATTAGTTGGTGTGCATGCAGCCTTCACTATGCTCTGCCAAATACCAATCAGCTGACCTCCTTCTTGGCAGGTCTTATCTCCAGTGCCAGGTCCTGTCCACTGGGACATCTTCATGCAGATGAGCAGGATCCCTCCCTGCCTTTGAAAATGACTCCTTACCTTTCAGGATGACCTCCTGCCTTTGAAGGCAAGCCTCTCCCTTTGAGGGTGACTCTCCCTTTTATTTTACCTGGCTGCAAAGGGGCTCAAAGGGGGAATAGAAGGCTAAAGGGGGAAATAAGTACCAGAGAAAATCCTGAGGTTCTGTTTCACCAGGTCAGGCCGAAAGTGTTCAGAACAACAGAAGGATGTGTGCTGTCCTCACCTACTACAGCTGTGTGACCGTAGGTATGTTAGTCTCTAGTTGAGTTTACAAAGAAATCAGAAGGCCTGGTCTCCACTCCGAAGGAGCTTTGCAGCATTTTAGAGTGCAAGACATATATGGATGAAGTGTGTGGGAAGCTACCCAAATCCTGATGGGAGATGAGGTAGACCTTCACAGAGGATTTCGTTCAGGACTGAAATAACCAGAAAAACTGCCAGAGGCTGGCAAGCTTGACTGGTGATCTCAATGGTCAGAAAGAAGCAAATGTGTTCTGAGACACATCAGGTACCTTTGCCATTCTGGGCACTATGCTAGGGGGTGTCTCAGCTTCTGGTCCCACTGCTCCCTGGAAAAGCCTGCTAAACACATGGGTTTTGCAGATGAAGGAATGGGAGAGGGGAGGTGGGTGAATTTACTGCTGCTGCCCCTGCTGCCCAACTCTGTGCTCAACACTCATGTGAGCTTTCATATTTCAGATTCACCATGATCGAAGACAACAAGGAGAACAAAGGCCATTCCTCAGAAAGGGGGAGAGTGACTCTCATTTTTTCCTTAAAGAATGAAGTTGGAGAGCTCATAAAAGCACTGAAAATCTTCCAGGTATGGATTTCTCAGAAAGCTCATCAGAAAACAAGTCTCTGAAATTCTATTTAAAATGTAAGGTACTGTCAGTCAGTTCCTCAGAGACAGCCTTCAGAAATCTCTTAACAACTTACCTTATTGGGCAGGGAGTGGACACAGCTCAGTTGCTAAAAACACTTGCTGCTCTTGCAGAAGACATGGGTTCAGTTCCCAGCACCCACACCAGACAGCGCACAGTCATCTCTAACTCTAGTTCCAGGGGATCTAATGTTCTCTTCTGGGCACTGCACACTTGTTGATGATAAAATATTGTTCAGTTCTGGGAAATGGGTAAGGAATACAACAACACAGTTAACTAAGAAGGATATTGGGGAGCATAATTTTGAGAGATTTCAACTAAATAAAATGCTTTACATTTAATGAAATACCTAACCATGTAATGATATTGTTTAATGATATATTAAATATTTTCAGGTGACAAAGTATCAAGGATTCTGCAATTATGTCATTTCCTACTGTCAGAGCCTCAGTGCATATGGTCCTCAAATATGTTTTCAGTGCAGCATAAGGAGACTGTGGGCTAATGTGCACTTATGAGCCTTAACATGTTCTTATTTAAAGTTTTTTATTTTATTCTCTCTCTCTCTCTCTCTCTCTCTCTCTCTCTCTCTCTCTCTCTGTGTGTGTGTGTGTGT